CAATCTTATTGTTGAAAGAGCCTTCCTATCGCTCTTCTTCCAATCTGCCACCAGTGTCGTGTCTGCCGGGGCCGGAATGCTTCCATCTGCATAATCAATCAGTCCTAAATCGGTTAGGATATCGATCATCTTGATTTTCCACGTCGGATAATTTTCCGGGCCCTTAAGGGGGTCAATTCTATACACGGACTGGCTATCCATGCGGTTCTACGTGTGTACGTAAAGTACGAAAGAGTGCGAAGTGAGTAGCGACGTAAGTTCAGTTATGGCCGGGGCCCATAACCTGTTGTAAGTAGAGAGCAGAGTAATGTAACAGAGAACTAGAATTAGCCTCTCGAGAGAGAAACGTTCTACTTAAATACATTTCGTATTACTTCGAGATCTTTCTACGAGATACTAAATAAGTCCGGATCACGATCCAAGTCAGCTGCCGCTGACTGGCATCGTATCTTCGAGTACATTCTCGTACTCGCTCGGGATTGCTATCCCAACAAAGATGTGCGGCAAACTTGATGGTTATGATGGTGTTATCTCACGTGTAGGCAAACACAATATTCCGCATGGCTCAAAACTGATATGATCTCGATAATATTGCACACTGGCGGCTATATCAGGGTCACAAAATCTTTAATGCTCCCTCAAAATCTGCGATGATGGCTTCGATGCCGACGGACACCTACGATTCAATTAAGCACTACGGAACTTATAGCCACCCAGGAACCAGTTGACTTACTCGAATAAGATCACCATTGATGCCCGCCGAGAGTTGTTCTTTATCTGATGACTAGATGTGTAGTGGCTGCCGGTTGAATCACAAGCGTCTTTGCATCCCCTACATGACGATCAATACATAATTGATGAAGAGAGAGATAGTCGAGGCCTGCCGATATTTGCCAAGTGGCTGGCTAGTCTTGGATTATTTTGGATTATTTTGGATGCTTCGGCACCTCCCTTGACGCCAAAGCATAGGACTCCACTAAACAGACCATAGATTTCGCTCGAAGATGAGTGACATGTGATTCCAGCCCCAAGTATAATACCCAGCCAATCTTGGGATGAGCATCCGGGAAGCTAAAACCAAAAGTGAGTTTACTGCTCAAGAGCATTATCAAATCTGATTACTTTGCGAGCTGTATGGCATTTTCGCATTGACGCTCAGCCCGTAAACTCAGAGTCTCGGCACCTTTGCAGCAGAAGAAAGGCTGAAAATGTGTGGATTCAGCGCAGGACCCATATCACGGAGCATCTGAGGTGTACATTAGTCAGACGTACATCGAGGGACCAAGACATACTGAACGAGCTTTGGCAGAAGATGCCTTTCCATCGTCAAGGTCTGCGTAGATTGCATTATTGAATCCTTCAGAGGGCATATTAAAGCTGGGAAATCATTAGGAAGCTGCTTTCCAATCAAAATGGTCTGCATCTTTGGTTAAACCCTGTGGATACATTGTTATGGCGGTGTCTCAAATATCTGAGTCGACAACGACACCCGCAATTGACATTCCATGACCGCCTATCCATTTCGTCGCACTCTGTACTATACAAAGAGGAAGTGTCAGAGGAAAAATATACGTGATAAGGAGGGCTCCTACCGATTATATCTGCACCGTAATCAATGGGACGAAAGAGATACCCTGCGTTGCATTTCCATTATAAAGAGAGCGCATTATATACACTAAACAGTGACTCATGCCAAGAGTATTATCGACTACGAGTGGAATGTGGTGACTATGCGCAAGCTTTCGAGACGTCAGGATGCTTGGAACGTAATGTCGACGGAGGATATACCTCAGCCAGGTCCTTGATAGGCGCGATAAGGAATGTCGACTGATGGACTCGGAATATGCACACTTGGTATCTCGTCCGACGGTCCTATTGAATTCGACGTGACTACTCCGACCCGAAGTTCTTAGAGCCACGGTGCTAGGCCCACAGCATCATTCTGGAGGTTTGGTGAATCGCTGGCTCATACGAGAGCGAGGGCGTAGTCCGGCCCGCAGCCCCGCTCTACTCCAGGACCACCGAATATCCCGACCTATGATCCGCACCCCAATTAGACAGTCGAGATCCGCAGTTGTCCTCAAATCTACGTGGGAGCCACAGCAGCTGTATTTTCCCCTTCTAATCCTTTATGTACATCAATTTAAACTCGTTTTTTGACCACCTTTGGCCCTTACAGCTGCCAGGATGCTCACCGGCATGCTGCAAAACTCCTTGAAGAGTACCTAGCAAGAGTCATAATGTCGGTGGAGGTTGAACGTTGATCTCTATTCACAAGGCTGACACGCACGTTGAACGGGAATGGAAAATTTCGGTCCATTATTTGGGACGCTTGGCAGCGCAAATTTCCTTGCTGTTTTTAGTCTTCAGTACTTCAGTACCAGAAATGCTCGTTTGCAATATATTAGGAGTGCTATCAAGGGCCGTTGAGATAAATGTTTCGGCTTCTGGCAGTCTCGCTGGGGTCTTCAAATCTCTTTCCTTCCTTCCTTCACAATCTGCACAGGACTTGGCAATCTCGCATCTGCACTTGTATGCCAAACTTTGGCATTCTGGATCTGTTTTCGGCTCGTAGTTGCAATCTGGAATCTGGGGGTCCTGCTATCATCTGTGCCACGATCTGTGCTTCTTTGACTGCTGATGTCGTGCTCCGACTCTTAGACCTCAGCGCTCATGAACGTTTCAATGATATATATTGCAGTGGCATGTACGGTCTTCTCGGTGATTCATTTTTCTTTCATTTCTGATGCGGGGATCAGCTTTCAGTGACGAGCAGACTTCCATTTGACCGTTCCTCCTACAGGACGCTGCACTGTGAGATATCGACCCACGCATTGCATCTTTTCGGTTATCACCATGATGTTAAGGGCATGTACATGCCCCAAACGTCTGGACTATCCACTGCCTTCCTTCCAGACCTCTCAGTCCAGCTCGATTACTGTATTGTAACGTCACTTTCTACTCTCGAACAAGAACACGCCTCTACGCTGAAATCCCAGCTACCTATTGAGACAGGAAACGTTCCCCTGGACGGAATGGCAGCTTCTAAAGAAGAAATTGCAGCTTCACCTACAGTAAGCCCTCATGACGTCCCCGAAGGCGGGTTGAAGGCATGGATGACCGTCATTGGCGCGTATGTCAATCTGTCCTGCGGACTCGGAGGTCTTGTTCAAAAACGCTTACACCCCTCGTAGGTTTCTCGTCATCTTTTGCTCTTCAGGGTGTGTTTCATCATTTCCGTTGGTCTTTATCAAAACTTAACAACGAATATACGGCAGCTACGTCAATTGCTATGGTGTATATGAAGGTAGATTAGTTGAAGACCTCAATCCTAATCCAAGTTGACGCTTGTACGATCCCAGATTACTATGTCCGTGAATTTTTGAGCGACCACTCGTCTTCAAAAATCAGGTAAGATATTTTCTGACCCCTGTTTCGTTTCTCTGACGTATCGAAGCTGGATAGGTAGCGTTCAAATCTTGGGTTTGGGATCCTTAGGCATATATTCAGGTTTTTCCATGGACCAGGGACACTTGTGAGCCTGATATTCCTCAACGTTCCTGTGCTCTCTTTTAGTCGTGATAATAGCCGGCCTGTGATGCTAGCGGGTTCGACCTTGCTCGTGTTTTGCCTCTTCATGACGTCCCTCACCCAAGAGCAGCAATTCTGGCAGGTAAGTGTTTGATTGAGGACCTTCTAAACTTGACATCAATATCCGTGCGGCCTCAGATCTTTCTTGCCCAAGGAATTGGGCTAGGCATAGCCGTCGGGATCATCTATGTTCCCGCGCTCGGTGTCGTTTCACATCATTTCAATAAACGTCGGTCCCTTGTCATGGGCATTGTTGGATCCGGATCCTCTGTTGGTGGTCTCGTCCACCCGATAATGTTGAACCAGTTCTTTCATGGACCTATCGGTTTCCGTTGGGGTGTGCGGATCAGCGCGTTCTTTAATCTTGGGTTGTTAATACTGGCAAATGCGCTGATGACGACCCGTCTGCCACCGCGCCTTGGAGACGCCAGCTTTGCTAAGCAGCTGGCTTATTGGAAACACTTCTTCACTGACGAAGCATATCTAGCGGCCATTGCGGGAAACTTTATTTTGTTCTTAGGTGTCTATTTCCCTACCTTTTATCTCCAGCTGAATGCCATTGAACATGGCGTAAATGACAATCTGGCTTTCTATATGGTAGGGCCGTCATATTATTGATCTTGTCATTTTTTTAAAACTTATTACCTTGCACCTACAGATCGCGGTTTTGAATGGCGCAGGGGCATTTGGACGGGTCATGCCAACAATTGTTGTAGATCGCATCGGCGTTTTCAACTCGATCATCCCGTGCGCTATCGCATGTGGGGTGCTCATTTTTGCTTGGGTCGCCATTACAAGTCCAGCCTCGGTAATGGTTTTCGCCGTCCTCTATGAGTTCTTCTCTGGTGCAGGCGAGCCAATTTATTCCTTCAAGACGACTGCTGCCAAACAGCATGACAGTAATTTCCCTCCTTGGCCCGATGATTGCATACCTGACAAAAAATGTCTCCGAAATTGGGTGGGTATATCTGTTTCTCACTTACGAGTGAATTTTCACCTTGTATTCGTAGAGCACGACTCGGGATGTGTATGGGTATTGCAGGTGAGCTGCGTTTTACTTGAATATCGAGATAAATTCATGTTGGTTATCTAGCTGTCGGAGGCATGATTGGTAGAAATATTGTAATGATGTCCGAAGTCGACGATTACTAAATTATGTATTTCCATTTTCCTAGGTCCTCCCATCAGTGGTGCTCTAGTCACTGGTACATACACTGGCCAGACACAGTGGCTACGGCCTGTGCTATTCAGTGGAGTGAACTTGCTTTCACTTCCAGCATGCTCGATTTCTGATGGCTCCCATTTTCAGATATGTTGTGTCGCCAGCAGTTTGACTCTTACGCTTGTCCAAGTCCTTTCTCGATGGAGTAGAAAGTGATGATGGTGTCTGAAATCAAATTGAGATGTCCTCATGATGATAATAGAAGATGAGATTGCAAAGCTCGATAAAGTACTTACCAGATGCCGCCTATCACAATCAATTCATGATCTCTTCATGAATCATCAATCCTGTTGACCGAGACACTTGCTACCCGACTTTTCCCGCCTATATTGCCTATATTGTACACCGTCGCTTACGGACTCTTTCGTTTACCCGAGCTCCTATACTTCCACCGACAGTATATATACCACGTAGTTACTTCCGCATCCTCAGTCATTTCACCCATAATGTGCCGACTGAGGTATGTTCATTAACTCATATACCTATATTACATTTTACTTGTTTATCCCGATAGTACTTACAACATTGTTCTCTTACTTTAAATGCAAAGTTCATTTTTATAATACATCAGTCTAGGCACTTCCGGAACATGATTTTATGCGCTTCCAAGGGAAGTGATATTGATGTACTGTCTATTGACAGATATTTACGCTACTGGAATGGAAAGAAGGCTGACTGGACTTGGACATTCACCAGGTTCTAGGGATTTCGAGCGCGCAAAATGGGATCCGAGATCGCCGAAATGGCCAGAAATTTTGATGTCTATTCACCTAGGAGAGACTACTCAATGAGATTTCGCTCCTAGTCGAACCCCGTTCGAAGATTTCCAAGTCTGTGCCCTGAAAATCGCATCTAAGTTTCCTTGTGAAATATATAAAGGGCTCGTTGAATCGACCTTCATTCCCTATCTGAACAGTCAGAACTCCAAAGCACTTCCCTGCTTCGATTCACAATGCCAATCATTGAGCTCACTACGAACGTCAAGGTAAGTTCTGTTCGCATTTCGATTACTCTGTCTACATTGATCTGTTTACCAACTTCGAAGGTCTCGGACGCTAAAGCATTTACAACTGCCTTATCCCAGGTCTCGTTAACCCTTTCGACGTTCTTTGAATTCTATTCTCTGACTTACCTCTCCTCAGAAAAGCGCTGAGATCCTCGGCATGACAAAATACATCACTGTGACATACAAGCACGATGAAAGTATGATCTTTGGTGGCACGTACGACCCAGCCTTTACCATGAATGTGGTACGTGGAACACTGTGTCTAGGTCAACCAGATGATGGGCTGATTATACGATGGCACGCCAGCTCACGGTATTGGGCATTCCAACGGAGAAAAACGCTAGTTTTAGCCAGTGTTTCTTTGAGTTCTTCGAGAAAGAGCTTGGAATTCCGAACGACAGGGGATATATGTACGTTTTCGTCGGCAAGTCGTACCGATAGCCCTGGGTACTGATGCTGCGCAATATTCAGCGTTTTCAACGACCCAGGATCGGACCGTCTTGGGTATGCCTTTTTGATTCGTATGGGATACATCGAAGATTGATTTTCGGGGTCTTTCAGGTACAAGGGAACCACGTTCAATATCATCTTGGCGTCTCTGCCTTCGCGGGACTGACGTGACTTGGATCAAATTGAGATGACGTCTCCTTTGGAATTGGGTTCCTCCGTAATACAAAGATATGGCAGTGTTACACATTAACGGATGGGATTACTGTAGCTGTTATTACACTCGGGAACATAAATATCAAATTATCAGTCTGCGTGGTGAAATCAGCTCGTCAAGCTCGGGCCTCCAAGCACGCTACCTTCAACAGTGACGACGACATTATCCGAGAATACTTTCCCGAGAGTGGAGAACTGTATGAGAAACTCACGGGTGCGGCAAAGGCCTTTATATTTGATCATAGTACGTTCTTCGCCGTTGCGCATCAATTTTTTGGAGTGGTAGCTGACTAGTGCAGCCATTCGCAGGCATCGTCCGGGAGACCTGGAGGAATCTCCAATGAAGCGCCAGCCGGTGTTCAATATCACGTCGACCAAACACCGGCAGCTGCCATTGGTCGTGTATTTCGTCGTTTGCCAGAGAGCGAGGCGCGGGAGCTTGTCAAACGTCGTTTTCAGATACTCAACTTGTGGCGTCCAATCGAGAACCCAGCATTTGATACGTCACTCGGATTCAGCACAGTCGACGAGAAGATCGACTTGTTCCCGATGAGGCTCAAGTTTCCCGGAGGTCCTGGGGAGACCTATGCAATAAAGTGGAATGCGAGGCATAAGTGGGTCTACTTGAGAGGAATGTCCCCGGACGAGGTGGTGACATTCAAGTGGTGTGGTGCTTTGCTAACTGTGATTTACTAGATCGACTCATCGTTGGGGTACAGCTTCGACTCGACCAAGGGCAAGGAGAAAACAACATTCAACGCGCACAGCGCATTTGTGGATCCTAATACGCCAGAGGGTTCTCCTTTGCGGCAATCTATTGAGCTCAGAGCTTTGGCCTCTTATGACGGTGGAATTATGGTTTGGAACGAGTACTTACTGCGAGCTGATCTTCTTTTCACACGATGAAGCATGTTACAGGTGAAAGACGCTCCGTTTAACTTTGAAAGTAAATATGATATTCAGAACGATACGGAGGGGTTCCAGTCACGCGGTTCGGAAGTTCCTGTGCTGATTGGCTCGCGGTAAGTGTCGATGCAGTGATGTCTTGAACACTGTTCCAGGCACGAATGGACCATTCCATGTTTTCCGCTTTCCGAGACAGATACCGAGGGAGCCAGTAGCATCAGTGTTGGATGGCTTGGTCCGGTCGAGAGAGGGCGGCCCGGTCCGGGCACATATGATTCCGATTCCGAGTCCCCTAATAGAAACCGCAACGGAGCGCTCGTACGAATCTACTACTACTTGTACGGACCATATCCTTCGTTACTAACCCAGTTTACCACGCAATGTCCGATACAGCACCTCCAAAATGGCGCGTCGTCGTGGGCTGCGATGTGAGTCTGCCTCTGCCTTGTTCTGTACAAGTCTAAGCTTGCGACAGGATGCTGGTGTCCAATACAAGAACGCGCTGAAAGCCGACCTGGAGAAGGATCCTCGAGTCTCAGAGGTCATCGACGTCGGCGTTGTCGATTCGAACGAGAAGACAGCGTACCCCCACGTCGCTGTCACAGCCGCAAAGAAGATTGTCGCAGGCGAGGCTGACCGTGGGCTGTTGATCTGTGGAACTGGCCTTGGTGCGTAGCAGGCCTGTCTGATAGGATGACTCGATGAGCTAACAAGACAATTACAAACAGGCGTCGCCATTTCTGCCAACAAAGTCCCTGGTATTCGCGCCGTCACGGCTCACGACAGCTTTTCGGTGGAACGGGGTGTTCTGAGCAACAACGCTCAAGTTCTTTGCATGGGCCAGCGCGTCATTGGTATTGAACTCGCCCGTCGCCTCGCCAAGGAATGGCTGGGCTACGTTTTTGACACCAATTCTGCTTCGGCAGCAAAAGTCGATGTAATTTCTCAATACGAGACCGTCCCTGGCGCGTGTTCATAATCATAGCAATAGAATCATTGTATCACCTGTACCATGGCTCCGTCCTATACATGATGTCCCACATCTAAGTGGCATAACTTCGTTCCGCAGAAAGGAAGGCATCCCGGTCTCCACGGAGAAGCAAGCTGAAAAGAAAGGAAAATGTGGAGTAGGCGCTGATAGGCGCTCTTCCTTGACACGCGTACGGTGGTTCAAATCAAAGTCAAGCGAGCGGACTGGTCTGCCGCCCTGGGAAATCGGATGGGCCTAATATTTGGAGCTCATGTACGTCCCAAAGATAATTCTCAACCTCGCCATTCCCTAGCACTGAGCTCCGAGCAGGTGTTTAAATACCGAATTCGAGTTTCTCCAAAAGTTCCGTCCACGAAAATTATCTCCTTCCCAACTAGTTGCATGAGGGCTAATCTATGCTTGTTCTAGGAGTTGAGAGGATGTGAGGAGCGGTATTGGATGAGGAGTGTTCTTAGGAGCGAGGGGTTGGGGACAAAACAAGTCTTTGTTTGGACGCCAAAGCTCTCTCACGACGGCCCCTCAAGGGAAGCCGTGCTCAAGCCGGCACAGGTGAGTATATGAAATACAAGAGACTGTAACTAGAGTATAACGAAAATGAAAAGGGGAAGTGGCAAGGGTGGGTGCAAAAACTGCTCAAAGTCAATGACTATCGAGCTCTACGTGTGAGATAGGGAAGAAAGAGGACAAGGAAATTGCAATGATGTGGACTGGCTTTATATTTCCGAGGACGAGTGGCATTTGGTCTTTGTCATATACATTGATGACAAGAACAAAGGCAATTTCAGTGCCACCGAAGGTAAGGCCATTGTCTCTTGCATAGACGACATTCAAAGGTATTTGAATGGTTCACATATCTGCGTGGCATTTCTGAGTCCTGTATTTGCATCATGATCGATACCAAGCTGTAGTCTTTACCGGTTTTGTTCTGAGATTGCATGGACAGCCCCATCATGCACGAAAAATAGGGTGGTCGACATTGTACCATTCATACTTACTATGCAACAAGATAGTATTTAAAATAACATTTGTACATGGGAGGCGCAGCTAATACAAGGGGGGCATAGGCATGGCCTAAACGAGACGAGTAAAGGAACCAAGGGACACTGCCAAGGCATTGAGCACTGGCACTGGCACTACGCTCGATCTACATGACGGTCAGCCTCTCATTGACTAAAAGTGAAAGAAGGAATTACCAAATGAGGCGAGCATCAATGAGGGCCGACAGTATGTACTGAGTGTTGATAATGATTTGCGGAATATATATAATCATGAACGGTTAAGAAAGTATAATTACATGCATTGGTATTCTTCTTCTTTCTTCTCGTCAGCGAAGCCTCAGCTCCTACAAATCTCCTTCCTCGGAAGCCGTTGACCTGGTTTGTGACAAGAACTACAACTACACAAGCCAGCGACGAAAGTTGTGCCGTCTCCTAAGGCCTTTTGGCCCTCCCGTCCCTCAGAATATCCTCTGCCAAAGACTCGGTGAGCAACCATGCCAAGAAATCAAGTATGCGTAACGTACTGAAAGGCAATACTTCCATGACCTCACCGTCCTCTTGCAGAAACGCGGTGATCTTCGGGTATTGGCGACGACCTTTTACATGCACCCTAGACACATCTTGTACCAACATCAACAGTTGTTGCTGGACGCCAGCGTGTAGAATAGGATCGATGGATCTCAAGTCCGGCGAAACCCATGGTACGTACAGAGTGTTATGTGCTCCAGTCACAGTGAAATGCCGAGGCAGCTCAACCCCCTAAAGTTCGTTGATTTAATACATCACCGAAACGAAGATTGGCTACTCACTCGTAATTGAAAACGTGCCTTCCTGTGAACGATGAAATATAAGCGGCAGCCGAAGCACGATATTTCTGAGACACTAATAATCGGAGCAGGTCTGTGCTGTACTTTCCACCGCTGAAGGAGTGTCGCCAACATTGTGCATTCACAGTGCAGACAACGGACAGCAAGTGTACTCAAGCTGCTCGCCACAGTTATCAATGACCCGGTCAAAAATTACCCGATCCTGGTCAATGATATCCATCTGACGTTCAGGTGTCCTTACAACGTTGTTCTCTTACTTTACCCTCTACCTGGGAGACACATATTCCTGCCAATGCATCAGGTAACCCCAGCGATTGACGTTCGTGTACATCGAACTCTCTAAGTCGTTGGTCAGAAGCCAAGATACCAAGATAACTTTCGGGCACCAGTGCTGGACCGCCCTAAGTGGGAGCATGACCGGACCGAATATTCCGTGTGGCCAAATTCATTAAACGTTACGGTCGACCGGCCAGCAGCGTTCCTCTTTCCTTTCCCTACGTCCAAGTCTCGCGACTTGTTGTATTTATCTACTACTGTTAATTCATCCATTTTTGTTGCCATCAATCTCTCAACGAGATTCAGTGCCGATGCGAAGCCAACGGGTCTGAAGAAATAATTACGCTGTACACATGGGACGAAGCCCTAGGGGTCCTTACAACAGAAGTCGTCTGCCGCGAAGCTCACACGCTTTCAATGCGTCACGTATACGAAGCATCCAAGCCTAGCCCATCTCTCCAGCTCGCACTACTATGGATCCTGGCCCCCCGCGACCCCAATGAAGTACCTTCCGCACCGCCCCAACGCAATATGGATGCTCACGAGCGTACACATGCGTACATACACCAGCTACACGTCTTTTGGGCGCATTTGCTGCACTACGAGGAGTCACTGGCAGACTTCAGGAAAACGGTAGCGTTTCTGGTGGACACTAACACTAGTCATGGATCCACGAGGGATGACGTGCCAGGTCCGGGAATGCAGATATCATAAGTCCCCATGAAAAGCCGATGAAGGGTCAACTGTTATCTCCAGATGTCTGCAGGGACGGCCTCTGAAATGGGAGAACACTGGGAGAACGGAGCATAGTTCCGTTACGCCGTCACACAGCACGACGTCTGGATATTCTACCAAATCAGCACTTGCGGTGGCATTCTAGGAGAACAAAACTAAAGTGCAACGAAGATTAGGGAAGACACAAATTTCGGGGGGTGTTTAATATTCTACAGGATTTTGCTTGACCCTTCAGACTTCAACTTTCTTGATGACTAGGGGTTGACTGTCGATCCCTTGACATAAATGCCAGAAGGTCCGAGTAGACAATGTAGTCACCAAGCGTCTCGTCATCAAAGGGCTCCAGGCTTTTAATGTTACTGTAGCGGTTTGTGCGATGTCGCTCTTTTGGTGGGATGCATTCGAGAGGAATTGTTTTCTTCGAGGGAAATTGAGCCTCAGATAGGCTAGGCTACGTGCATGTAACCCTGCTTTAAATGCGTAGCGAATGTTGTTAACCAACCACGGACGAAAAGCAGAAAATGATGTCGATGTAGGGATTGCCTTGGGCACAAACCAGGAAACTAACTTTTTCCGCCGCAGCAAGTGACCGCCATGATGAACCACGTAGCAAAAGGCATCTCCTTTTTCAATTTCAATTCCCTCATGAACACTTCTTCTGCGGATTGAACAGTTCTCGTAATGGCAGCAGAGTATCAATAGAACACAGTAGAAGGCTTCGACATCATGTCGATACAGATGACCAACGTCAGACCGACCCAGAACCCAGAAGATCATGAGCCATGTAAGGTGGCGTGCCTGTACGACGAAGAGAAGTTGCTTCTTTGAAAGGAAGAAAAGACGCAAAAGATCATAGTACAAATTGTGTTTTTTTTTAAATCCAAATTCAAGCTCAAATCTCTCAGATATTTGCTCATAAATCCTGCCCCCATGGAGATGATTTCGAACAAGATGTCGGTGTCATGGGTCATTGGTGAGAACAGCGCAGGGGCTCCGCACAATGACTTGGAAGTTCTGCTGGCGACAAAGAATGGAGAGGCTGGAAAAGACTCATAGGCAGTTTGCGCAAAACCAGGAAAGCTAGAGAAAGCGGCAGTGAATGTCGTGGTTGCTGGCAATGCGTCCCGATTAGGCATTGAACGCTCTGCCAGTTTTTTTTGGCCCTGATATGGTGCTAAAGTTATTTTATCGTGTATATCCGACTAGGAACTTTGTCTTCTCCATTAAGGGAGCGGCTCTTATCAGCAAGTCAAATTTTGCCGCTCCTTCTTACGCCCCGAGTAAATATCGTTCTGGTCCATTCTATGTATTGATTTTCTTTGGTCTGTATTACGGTACGGTACAATTGTCAGAGAACATCAAGCAAACATGAAGAAAAGCAAGGCGAGGACTATACTAAAAAGGAGATGCAGACATGGTGTGAGAAATACATGGCAGGAGGCAAGGAGTGGTGGAATAGAAGATGCAAGATTATTGTGTCGTTACGTCTGGCTGAGGATCCGGAGCTTCCGTGGGCACACCCTGGAAATGGAAGATAAGTCCAAGAGCACAGACGAACATTCAAGCAGCCGAAACTCACCATCCCACGGCACGCCGGGCAATTATTCTTACCCGTCTGCAGCCATATATCGACACACTTCTGATGGAAAGCATGCCGACATGTCATGACTCGTACATCATCTTCGGGTACATAATCATCCAGGCAGATGAGGCACTGTGGAAAAGACTGTTAGCTCGCTCGATAGGTCTTCAAGCATGTAAACAAACCCTGTCAATACAGTTGGATGATATTTTGCCACCTCGCTCATATTCAGCAAGGCGAGTCGACTTGATAACCTCCAAGCCAGATTTTTCAATTTCTTCCTTTGAAACCGTCGGCGGTTTGACTTGTCCCAGAAGCTCGGCCAAATCCCTAGAAAACAATGAGCACATCGTATGTCGCATAAAGAGAATTAAAGACGCACAACAACGCCTCAAAGGAATCAAAGTTATTAGGTTCACCGGTTACGATACTATGATCCGGAGGATAATACCCTATGAACGAAAGTGAGTGAACGAGAAACAACACAAGCATCATCAGACGATCATACCTCCGATGACATAAATCAAGAAAGTGCGAGATCCTGTAGCATCAACATCGGAAGCAACGCCGTGTACATGCGTCCTACGTCCCGAACGCAAGTTTCGCAACGCACTGGCTGCACGAGCATGCCATCGACGACCGCGAGTCGTATCAGACGGTAGAGAGGGTCCACCCGCACCGGTATTCAAACCGTCGACACCCGCCTCAGGCATTCTACCATCGTTTTCGTCGCCCTGCTGCTGGAAAACGTCAAGCTCCGCAGGATCAACAGGCTCCGCCGGTGAGGGTGAGGCCTGGGCATTATGCCGCCAATTCATCTGCACAGACTGCAAACCAACTACGATGACAGGAACGACGATGTTCGGCCCCGTTTCTGAAGGTGTGGGAGAGGGCGCGGCGTCGGATGCCGTCGGTGACGAGGCAGGGCGGGGTGATGTCGTTTCTGGCATTGGGAGTTGAACGGATGGTGTAGAAGCAAGCAGGGGGTTTGGTTGCGAGCGCAAGTTGACCTCTACAGCACCGCTACCACGAGGTGCAAGGATTGGGGGGAAACGGTATAGTCTCCACCAATTAATTCTGCCAGAAGGACCCTCTGGCCGCGAGGCCTCAGCGGCAGACCCAGCGGTGCTCGGCAGTGTGGGCATTGTCCAGTTGTCACCCTGTGTGAGAGGTTGGGGCCGATGTGAAGAAGAAGCGGTAATCGAAGGTGAACGACGAGGGGGATGTGCCATTTCAGAATCGGAATCATTACTGAATTCAGAATCCGAGTCAGAGACGTCTTGCAGTTCAGGCATGTTATCGTTGTGATTTTCACTCTCTCCTACAGTGTCTCTGTGTGTCTGAGGTGCTTCTGCAGCAACAGGTAAGAGTTCCGAATCGCTGGTAGGAGAGGTCATAGAATTAAGTTCTGTTCCTAACGGTTCCAGAGGCGGTGGCTCCGAATCGGGAGCAGGAGCTCCCTCTGGTACCTGCTGTGCTTGTTGCGTCAGTGTGGACCGCAGATCGGTTTGCAAGTCGATCAAAAACCGCTCAAAGGTGCCTTCTGCTGGTAAGTGAGGAGTGACATTGATGGTGGGGCTTTCTGAGCCCTGGGTCGATGATGCGCCTTCATCCGTACGCTGCGGAGAATCCGATGGCATACCCAGTCCTGTATTAAAGGCACGGGCCATCTCCGCGAACATTCGCTCTCTCGCATCTGGCGGTGAAGCATCGGGTAACGCCTGCGGAAGCTCATCTCCCTGGTCGCTCCGATCCAGCACCTGAGGCCCTGGAGACGGAGTCGGTGTACGAAGACCGAATCGTTCCCGAATGTTGGCCCAGGCCTGCCTCATACGTTCACTTCGGCCGGTCATAGTATCCGCTAAGCCGGCAGTTGGAGTAGGTGAGTTGGGCCGAAGGGACGTATCTGGGTCTGTAGTAGATGCATTTGGTGCTGGAGGGGTGAGGCCTGAGGAGAGTATAGGCTCCGATGACCCTGTGAGCAATGAAGCAGCCGTGGCAGCTGCTGCGACGCTGGAAACGAATGTAAGCATAAGTCATTATTTGCAATCGCTTAAGGACTCTACCTTAGAAGAGTTCCAAGCACATCAATGCTACTGGAAGAGATAGCACCAGGGGGACGTTGTTCAAAGGGTTCTGCTTCAGGTGGAGGTGGAGGTGGCGGCGGTGGTGGCGGCGGTGGTGGTGGTTGTGTATCATTAGGTTCTGGGGTTGATGTTGATACTTCCGCTGTATGTGGATCACCGTCTCTTGGAGTGACAGAGGGAGAATTTGTGGACACCATGCTGGGAGGCCGCGACCGAAGAAGCGCAGACAATCTGTTCCTCGCTGGACGCTCCTGATTGACGGAAGTGGACGAACGAGAGAGTGACGCTCCTCGACGAGTCATCATCGGTGCTTCAGGAAGATCGGGCGGAACGAAGGATGGGGCGACATCAGGCCTAGGTACATCGGTCGTATGTACGACACCTTGTACCACAACGAGCGTTCCTGGAGGGGGGAACTGTCGTGCAGGTGATGGAGAAGTCTGTCCAGGTGATGATTGATCTGCGGGGCCGATAGTGGGTGAGGGCGATACATCTTGCGGAACGTCCGGAACGTCTTGCGAGGAAGCGAAATGGTCGGGGCTGATAATGACTTCGTCTTCTGGCGCATTGTTGAACACAGGCGGCGACGTAGTGCTATGCCTATCCTCCCGATCCGGATCCAGTGGACTGGAACTTCCAGTGGCTGCTGGTGAGTCGAGAGAGGGCGACGTCAAAGGTTCGGATGGCTGCGAGTCAGGGTCCCTGTTCTTGTCAAGGACAGATGACAGCGCACCACTGGCCGACGACGCGCTCGGAGAGGAATCGATATCTGGAGTCAAAGATGGCGGTGTTTTTGACCAGCGCCTAGACGCTCGCCATGATTTGCGTGTATTAGAGCCTGGACGCTCACTAGACCCTTCGGAGTGCGATGAACGTGGCTTCACGAGGTTCAGGATACTCTTGCGAACGGCAGAGCGAGCTGAGCGGCGAGACGCCTTGGATGTCGGAGAGTTGTTGGATGGCGCGGATGGCTGATTGTTGTCTGGAACATCGTCAGACTGTGTTTCTGGGGTGCTGGGAGGGACATCGATGCCGGTAGAGGCGTTTGTATCAGGCGACTGTAACGGAGTCCGGTTCCTGGAAGTCGTCTGTCCCATGGAATCTGGAGGAAGGAAGGGTTTGTAATGGAAGCGCCCAGCGACGAAGAGAAAAAAATCGGTTCCAATATGCTACACTGGCCTTGAATAAAGAGAATTAGATGAAACAGAAGAAGAACAGTAGCGTCGTCGTCGTCACCGGCGGAGATACTGGATGATGAAAGATGGATGAGAGAGAAGCGGTGACGGCAAAGTCACGCTTTGTCACCGTCCTTTGCAACAACAGCGCTTTGCACGGTCGGATGAATCATTCGACAAGGACGACGACGTGTAGCGCTCGCCGAGCACTGCATAGTGCGTAGTGCTCTATTCAGTGCTAATCCGCAGCAGTGAGATTCCTCCTCGCCGCTCTTTACGGTGACGCGTGTGTGAGACGTGTTAGTACTTTGTACAGATGCTGGGGTACGTCTAATCTCTTCAATGCTGCCACATTTAGAGCTCTGACAAGTGTACTATTATACAGGAGACATTCGGCGACCTCGTAGCCAGTCTGCCAAGTCACCTAGTCGCCATGAACGCCACAAGTCGATTCATAATCAAAGGCTCGATTTCTCAATTCTATGGATAGATGTCGTTCTCTTGCCACTGTATCATTCATCATAGTATCGAAACGTAGCATTCATTGGGTAGGCCCCGTATGACTCGTGAAAGCGCGTCCTTCCACAACTGCACACTATATGACCTGTGTATTTTTCGATTCTCTTTCCTCCCAGGGTAGGATAAATAGGCATCCACCCAAAGCAAGGTATGTTTCTCACCTTTCTCACCATAACTGTCCCGCTAATCGCTGTAATAGGTCCTGTTCTGACAACTGATAACCATAATGCACACTGCTTGTGCTCACCGCTATCCTTGCCTGCAATATTACTGCGATCTCGAGGTACGGCGTCACTTTTTCTCTGCGTATCTTACCAAGTTTTCTGCAGGACTTTAAGCTGATGAAATAATATCTCCCCAAGACAGCAGTGTTTTGGTCCTTGTTTGGTTAAATGGGATGCCCGGTGTTCAAGTTGAGGTTATTTTTACTCCCTGGGTGAGAGCAGAACAGGTGAGTTTGTTAGTTGAAGATCCTTCGGAACACGCTGAACTGTGTTTGTAGCGACAAATCAAGTCTTGTGAACAAACCTGGGCGGGAGAAGGATCCGAGGTGTGTCCTCTGTTTTACCGGTTGGTCATCGAGCAGCCCCCGGTATCTCGTGAACACCGACGCAAGCGATCCCGGCAGACGGAAATACCGCGATCTCTTTTCCTCCAATGCAGGTTGCCAACGCCACCTCTCACATATGACAGGCCGTCCAATCATCAGGTGGGAATGAAACATTCGGCCAAGGATGACCAGCGAATATCTTTTTGCAATCAGATTCTTTGAAGATTCTTATTATCAGAGTACAAGTAGAACTAGAAAGCACATTTTTGTAGTCAGTTATTTGGGCTAATTCTCAGTAACAGATGGTGGCAAGCTCATTCTTCCGCTAAACATCCAACGCCAAGCTCTGTTTCCGCGTCAGCTCTAAAACCGAACCGTTAATCAATGTGTTACGGTTACTACGTGGCCGGCTCGGCATGCGTGCATAAGTAAAAGCCTTGTACGCACTGTTTCCATCATACGAAATACACAGGCTGAGTATCATCAGCTTTGGTATTGGGTCCAAATTTTTGGACAAAATCGGGGCTTGCACTTTAACTTGCCGTACTAGCAGCCTTACCATCACGGTACAAAGCAAGGTCTGCGTCGATGGAAATCGGCCCTTCCCCAGTTTACTAGTTACATACTGATTTACATCTTTCTTCATGGAGACTACCATCACGCTGAATGCATCAATTCCATAAAGAATGCTGAGCAGTACTTTTACACCGCCTCATCATCCTTAGACTTCATACCCCGTCCATGAACCTCTATCAGACGAGCTATGAGGTACTTAACAGTACCTACACTAATGAGTCGGGGCAAGTCATTTATAAAGTCTCGACTCCGCTCAAGCTCTCCGGGCGGGTCACGACCATCTCACGTATCGTACCATCAGATTACGAGCCGTCTCGCGTAGAAGAAACAGCCAGCTACGAAGTCGGCAGCGTTCGGGAACGCAATCCTGCACAGTCGGACGGTGATGGGACCAGGGAACCAGAAGTGGACTTCAGAGATCGGTTTGTACTACTAGGATGCATTGAGTGGAAGCGGTTGGCTTCCTCTGTGATGCGATACGATGGGAAGGAGGTCAAGGCGACTACGTACCTGAAGAAGGAGGGCTGGGGTTGGTATGGAAGGTGCCTTGCCTTGGGTGATGTTCCAAGTATCATATCATTGACATCACTTTGGACAGACACCGTGTATTCAAGGGTCCTGATAGCAAAGAGTATAAATGGATACTGGGTCTCCGTGTTCCCCAAGTGAGTGGATATTATCATGTTATCCCACATGATACTGACACAGAAACAAAGCTGGTCCTCAACGATGGGTCGGAAACCCTTATCGCCAAGTACCACACAAGAAAGTGTGGTCTATTAAGTCCTGGCGATGCAAGACCAGCTTATCTGGAAATATGTCCTGGAGGAGAGCATATGGTAGATATCATCTTCTTTACCTTCATATACATCGAGGAACTCCGCGAAGAGAAAGAGAACGGCTCGTAATAGTGCGGTTGTACTAGGAGGATAAGGATTGGGCATGCGACTGTCACTGACTACGATACAAGAATCTAATCTACTTTTCTTGAACCATATCCTTGATACTCTTAACCCATGTTTCGAGATCGTTTCCCCACCCACCAAGTCTACGCATCTTTCGGTTCTCGAGTTGGCTTCCAACTCCAACACCGATCTCCTTCATGCGACTTTCCCCCCTTTGCCTATTCACCCTGTGCTGAGTTAGACACCGCAAGAGAATACTGTCCCGGTTGAAGAACACCCCCTTCAGTGACTCTGGGCACCCGGGACTGCATGGCGGAAGAACGCCGGTGAGACGGAGGAGCGTACGAACCAATATTCGGGGAAAGTACAGCATGAGAGGAGGATCGAGCCCTGTGCCAGCTGGTCAGCTATGGCCGCCGCTGAAACTGGGCAGTGGACCAACATATAACATCTGTCGCCTGCTCCTGGGCTACCGTCGCTCCGTGCCGCTGGTAGTTCCCGTCGATGATCCACCCATTGGGACTCTGCTCCATCGCGGCTCTTATCTTTGCGCGAAACTCATCCTCCGAAGCTGCTTTCCAATTGGGCTCCCAGAACAGCTGGTCCAGGGAGATATGTGGAATCCCGAGGATCAATGAGAGGCGTGCTGCGAGGGTGCTCTGCTCCACTTGAAGCTAAATAGGATCACAAAAGGCAAGGAAACAGGCTTGCCTTGCCGCTACCTGGGGAAAAATCAGAGTAGGAAGGGTAATATTCGCCTATTGACGTACCGCTGTTCCCTAGGATATGGATTTTGTATAGACCTCGACCGTCACCAATCAGAGACGGACTCTCCATGAATGATGAGAGCAGAGTTACGCGCCCTGATTTGTGATTTGTGACTCGAATGGAGTAACTTTAACAGAACTGAGATGAAATTCCATACTCCGCACATGGGGAATTAGACAGTTGAAAAGACTAAAAATGAAGTATGACTCGGATGTACAATAGAAACCCGTCAACCCAAGATAAATTTGCTTCCAGGTCCATCATCTTACAACAGCCCTTTCTTGAGGAGGAAACTGCGACCGGCAGCTTCGGCGCCCTTGATAGCATTGAAGACAACGTCGACGTTGATGACACAGTCCAGGTTCCATATCGTCTCATTCGGCGCACAAGCCAGCTCTGCAACATGTCCAAGTTCCTCGTCCGTGACGCTCGTAACCCCAAGTTGCGCCAACGTAACAGGAAGGTCAACAGAAGTCATGAGCTCCAGATACCGGTCTATCTCCTCCACGGACGCATTGCAAAGTATGAGCTGGCAAACGGTTCCAAAATTAACTGGAAATCAGGACCGAAATGTAAGCCTAACACACATGTGATAAAATATTCACGCGTCCGTACCTTTTTCGCCGTGCATCATTTTGTGCGTAGGCTCTAGGGCAGTCAGACCATTATGAATCGCATGCGCAGCAGCCAATCCCCCGCTTTCGAAACCCAAGCCCGACAGCAGCGTGTTTGCTTCAACCACAGCTTCTAAGGCCGGGGTAATAGCACCGACTTTGTTAGACTCGTACGCGAGTTTTCCGTACTTGAATAGGATTTCCTCGCATCTTGCAGATATCGCACCGGCAAGGAGCGTAGGAAGACCACCTGTTGACAATTCGACCATGTTTATTCAGAAAATGAAACTAGATCGACTCACCACCAAAATTGGCCGCGTTCCTAACCTCGCGTGCTTCGACGTGTGTGGCTAGAGCATCGCCAATGCCAGCAGACAAGAACCGAGCCGGTGCCTTTGCGACTACCGAAGTGTCCACTAGAACGACGGTAGGGTTCTTGTTGAAGAAAGAGTAGCGATCAAACTCTCCGTGGGGTGTGTATAGAACGCTGAGGGCGGAACACGGCGCGTCTGTAGAGGCTGTCGTAGGGAGAACTGCTGAAGGGACACCAAGCTTGTCTGCGACTGCCTTGGCAGTATCGATCGTTTTCCCGCCACCGAGAGCAATTACATACTCGACCTGAGAACGCTGTCAGGGATTGTATTCACGGTGGAACACGTGGTGCGAGACACTTTACCTTGTTCTGCGCGCCAATGTCTTGAACCCGTGCGATCTCTGCTGATGAAGCTTCACCGTTGAAGCGAACGTATACGACCTTCATGCCTGCCTGCTCCAGTGAACTCGTCAGAGCTGCACCAGCTGTACAATAAAAATCAGAGTAGAGTCCATGGAGCATTCCCGTAAATAACGAACCGATCTTGTACACGACATCATCTGCAGTCAACAGAGCCGTCTTGCCTAGTGACCCTAGATAGATAGGGGCATTCTTGATGGCAGATGGTCCTTGGATGTACTTGGACGGCGACTGGAAGAGTTTCTCGGTAACGACGTTCTTCATATTAGGAGGACATCTTGCAGCGACTGTGGAGGTGAAGGTACGTCTCAAGGAAGCGCGGCGAGACACAGATATTGACGTAGACCTCAGGCAGCGGAGGGACATCGAGGAGACGGTGGTAGAGGTGGAGAGCGAAGGTAAGGGAGAAAGACTTTAGACAGCTGGACCTAATTGTGAGGTGGCATGCTTAAGAGCTTGAAAAACATGAGCGGTCCGACCCCGGTCCCGGTCCGCATATACAACCGGATGAAAGCATCGGATAATAGCCCCGCGGATCTGCCTTAACAGAAAATAAGAGCAATACGCGCAAGATAGACGAAAGAAACGACATACAAGAAAAGTGGGTAGCACCAAGGTGCTTGGGTCGCGTGAGATCTGGGGGGGGGGGAAAGGACATTTCTGTTTTCTTTCTCCAAGAGTCCCTGCCTGAAACATTGCGGGGTCATCTGGGGTTGGTTTGAAATTCGGGATAACGATTTTGGAAGCTTGATTTGATGCCGTATCTGAAGGGGATTTTTTTTGTTCACTCTCGACTGCAAACTGCGGCATCGCGACGAACAGAGGCGACGGGCGCCCTCAAGAGCGGGAAAGGTAAGTACGTACATAGCGTTAATTTTGCTTCCGTGAAAATGCCGGCTTGAACGAGCTCAGCACGACCGCGCCCGCCGCCTGACACTCTGAAGGGATACGCGTCTCTTGGATAACGCCAAGATCACAAGAATGGGGATACGACGAACCACAGAAGATTATTCAAACGTGAGAGGGGCCATTTATTGACAGGTTCCCGTTCCAGTATTATCTTGGCTGCGGCCGGGGCATACAGGCATGGCACATCATCGCCGTTGAGCATCTTCGCACACATCTACTGCATTACTAGTGTCAGCAATAGCTGGACCACAAAAATCACGTACAATACCGACCCGTATGGCGTTGGGCAAGGTCCTCTGCATGTCTTGATCACCCGGAGAAGAAGACAGATACCATCTTGGCGTTACAACATTCCAAACAAATCTGGACCTTGCCCAGGGAAAGGATAGAGACGAGGGGAGGAATGATTGACGTTTCTTGAAAGGTTATTGCTCGTATATATTGATTGGAGGAGGGCAGGGGGGGCGCCCCAGCATGTGTCGTTCGTTAAGCGATCGCTACTCGGATGTCCTTTCCCTGACACGTAATACTGTGCAAAAAACAGAAGATAAAATCCCGCCTTCCCCGGAGGATAGAAAAGTCGGAACGATTCAAGTCAACGTTGAGTCAGCGATGAGGAAAAAAATAAATAAAAGTTACGAAAGTTATGAAAAAGAAAGAAGCACGTGACTACCGTCTGGCGAAGTTCGATTCTTCGAATTTGGACATTGGAATTATAATACACCGTGTACTACTTGCATTTGCTTGTTTGAAAGACCCAATATACTGTTCATTATTGTTATGCCCACTCAGTTCGTTTCGCAACTCTCAGAAAAGCGTGACGTCGGTCCCACACAAATGGTCCAACAAGTCGTAACAATGTAAGTATGCCGCTCGATCTAATGGACCTAGTCGAACAGCAATCCTAGGCTAGTCCTTCAGAGGTAATAAATACTATTATTACAAATCCGCAGCTGGATAACAGAATACTAGAATACCGCACATATTAGGCTAATAGAATCCGCTCCGATCCCATAACAATGAATCTTCAAGGCTGCTATGCCTATCCCACCCACGCGACTCAAAATGTTTTGCCGTCAAATGTGCGGCTCGAAGAAAGAGCGTCCCATCGAGTTTCTCTGCGCCCGGAAGTTCTGTCCGCGAAAATTCCGGTTCACCACTAGGACGTATCCCGTAAAGTGTGGCGTAATGCACGAACGCCCTTTGGATTTTGCACAGGTGATCATCTGGATGGACAACAGCCTGCTGAATGATCTTGAACCAGGGATTATGCATCGGCGTCAGTTTCCAACCTGTGGGTTTCACAACCGGCGATGTGGGAGGGGCCAGAGGGGTGTCCGCCCCGAAGAACTTTGGTATGTCGAAGCCAGGACGACCTCGAGAGACCCACCAAGTGACGGATACAGCCATGTAGTGGCGCAGAAGGAGGACTTGGGAGGGCGGAGTGAGATAGGCCACGAAAGAAGGCAAGAATATCGATGACGTGACAAGATGCATGCTTAGAAAGGGAGAGCAACATGAGTAACTTCCCACGCTACAGAGAATGTCACATACAGAAAGAAATCACTGTTAAACCTTTTCCCAGGTTGAGAACCGCCTAGTGCATATATGATGGTGTTCATCCACTGCAATTCCTCGACTTTGCGATGTACTTCCTTGGGATCGGACAAGTCCAACGTCCATTGGCTTGCGTATCGGTACAGAGCCTCTCCGTTTGCCTCCAGCGTTTTTTCAAAAGGATCTTCATCGCTATAAGGCACTTCAATCGTGTCGTCTTTGAGGATCCGCGCCAAAACGTCAAAAGCATGGATTCCTTTCTTCGCGCCATGTGAATGTGGAGCCTCGTCGAGAGCTAGTTCGGATGAAGCTTTTTCTGTGAGTGTATCTATTGCTGGCGAAGACGTGAAAAACGAAGAAGGGAAAAGAGGCTGAAGTTTGTCGTGGTGCACTGCTGTTTCGGCGAGACCTAATTTGCTGTATCATGAATAGATAGAACAGACGTTGTGACAATTATACAACCTTCGACAACCATTCCAGGCAGGCCGAACTCGAGCCCATACCCTGTATGGATCATGGGGTGTACTAATCCATTCATCAATCGGTTGAGCAACGCGGGCTGTTTGCTCTTGTCCGCTGTCGAATCAACATTTGCAGATTCCGAGAAAATGAATTCCTCCAATACCGAGGTAGTGCCTTTCTCCTGGATCCTCTCCTTAAAGAAATCCATGTACGCGTCAAAATATCTGAGGTAGAAATAAGACCTAGTACATTAGCTGGAAAATCGAACATACTTGTCATCTCCCAAGTGACTAGTGAAGTTTGCAGAAGTTATGGGGCTCGGAGACGGGATGGCGGGTTTCTGGATGGTAGCATCCTCGCGATACGCAGCGTCGATGGTTTCTTTATTCGCACCAAGAGCCCAGATGGCCAATACATGGTGAGCGGTATGGCTATCCTTCGAGGTAAGCTTCAGCCGGGCAACTACCGCCTGTTTGACTTACTTGTGAAATCTTTTGTCATTGAAAAAGATATGCCACTTCTCGTGATTCTCTCGAAGGACATTCTGTAACGCGACGGTAGAATCTGCATCAGCTCCTGGGAGGATGCTTGGGGTATGCTTGGAGGGGGAGGGAGACGGTGCAGGGAAAAGCTCCAGAGTAGCTGTAGACATGGTCATACATTTGAAAGACGATTGTGTTAGACCGTTGTGTATTATATGGGGAGAACGGGAGAAGGATCATAAGTGACGTCACTCCCTTGAACCTGACCTTTGCGTGGGACAGACGTGCCATTACTGCAATATTCTTGTGCCCTGGGACTTGCCTGTAATGGCACAGCAGAGTATACTTGGAAGCTCAGCGTCGCCGGCACCTATCAAATGTTCACTGGATTTGTAAGAGACCGCTGCCATTGGTTAGGTTTGCGAGATTAGAGCGCCTCCAAAGAATCATGAGGACAAGCAGCTGCTTCCAAGTCGATTCGCCAAATTAATTGAAAGGTCGTTGATGACGTCAGCCTCGCCTCTGTTAATTCACGCGCAGTCCTAGGTACTGAACAGACCAGATGCAGCGTGATGTCCTCCTATGCCCTTGGTAGCAGAAGAGTTCTCGGCCATTAGGCAGATGGCCTCTTGTCACAAGGTCATGTATGACGGTCCAGCTTTGACAGAGGTCATGCAGGATTAAATACCCAATCTTCGAAAGACCTAGTCAGAACCCTAATGTTCTTCTTCCTTCTACTCCTGCTGTCGTGCCAAACGCTGGCAGAAATCCAGCGACACGCACTAGTATCACGGTACAATCCCACCCGCAATGCATCCAGCCTCACCACGCCGATGCAAGTAGGCAATGGAAA